GGTACTGGTTCTGCAGAATATGTGTGTCCACACAATAAACCCACGTTCAGCTCCTGCCTACTAGCAGTAGTACCAGAAGTAGTGGTAGCAGTAGTACCAGAAGTAGTGGTAACAGTAGTGGTAGCAGTACAAGTAGTGGTAGTAGTAGTAGTACTAGCAGTGGCAGTAGCAGTAGTACTAGCAGCAGTAGTAGCGGTAGCAGTAGTACTAGCAGTACTAGTAGCAGTAGCGGCAGCAGTAGTGGTAGTAGTAGCGGTAGCAGTTGCAGTAGCGGTAGCAGTAGCGGTAGCAGTAGTGGTAGCAGTAGTGGTAGTGGTAGCAGTAGCGGTAGCAGTAGTGGTAGCGGTAGCAGTAGCAGTAGTGGTAGAAGTAGTGGTAGCAGTAGTGGTAGCAGTAGCAGTAGCGGTAGTACTAGCAGTAGTGGTAGCAGTAGTAGTAGCAGTAGTGGTAGCAGTAGTAGTAGCAGTAGTGGTGGCGGTAGCAGTAGCAGTGGCGGTAGTGGTAGCAGTAGTGGTAGCAGTAGCGGTAGCAGTGGCGGTAGCAGTAGCAGTAGTGGTAGCAGTAGCAGTAGCGGTAGTGGTAGCAGTAGCAGTAGCGGTAACAGTAGCAGTAGCAGTAGTGGTAGCAGTAGCAGTAGCGGTAACAGTAGCAGTAGCAGTAGTGGTAGCAGTAGTTGTAGCAGTAGCGGTAGCGGTAGTGGTAGCAGTAGTGGGAGCAGTAGCAGTAGTGGTAGCAGTAGCGGTAGCGGTAGCAGTAGCGGTAGTAGTAGTGGTAGTGGTAGCAGTAGCAGTATCGGTAGTGGTAGCAGTAGTGGTAGCGGTAGCAGTAGCAGTAGCGGTAGCAATAGCGGTAGCAGTAGTGGTAGCAGTAGCAGTAGCGGTAGCGGTAGCAGTAGTGGTAGCAGTAGCGGTAGCGGTAGTAGTAGCGGTAGTAGTAGCGGTAGTGGTAGCAGTAGTGGTAGCAGTAGCAGTAGCGGTAGCAGTAGTGGTAGCAGTAGCGGTAGTAGTAGCAGTAGC